AAATCTGGAATTTCTCCTCTAAGCAAGCTGCAAGAGGACAAGCGAATATCAGCCAGCAGCTTGCATTTTCCAGAGACAAGCAAAGGCTCGACAAGCGAAAACTGGCTGAAGGACTTCATACATAAACTACAAAGTATTTAAACTTTCAAAGTATATAAACTGGCATTCACAAACTGCCGTGTTCCCACTGTCATTTGGTACTTCCAGACAAGAATCGGGAAATGTTTCACAACTATCAAGTCAATAAAATATTCAGCTTCACTTGACATTTCCATAATTACCATGGGTGAAGCACATTCAGCCCGTGCTGATAAATTTCAACACTGATTCTAACCTTTTGCAATATTTAAAACGTTTACTATAAGATTACAAATAACCTCAGCTCTGCTGAAAGATATTAGACTTAAATCTGCCCGGGGGCCCTGAGGGTCTCGTCGGGGGGAAAAAGCAAAGGCAACACGCGACTGTCTCCACTGTTAATGTAAAAACAGAAAAGAAAGGACGTGAGAGAGAGGTTTAGGGGGGAAACGGCTCTTCACACGCTGAAAGCAATTTGAGGTTGGAACTGAAATGGCTCTGAAACAGCCCCCCGCCTGCCACCCACCCACTCAGCAACTGAAAACCAATCATCAAAACTCATTTTTTGCATAAACTAAGTTAGTTCCTTCAACAACCCTACCCCTGCTACTGTAAGCCACTGACCGTGAGCCAGACGAGTACAGGTGTTGTGAGAATGAAAAACGTTACTTTGTGTTGCCATTCTGTGGCCTCCTCTTCCTTTTTCCTCTTGGCCTCCTCCAGCAGCGCGATTCGGGCAGTAAACTCGCCGAGTTCAGCCGCCTGCAACACCAACCACACAAAACCCCTCTCAGGCAGCCGGCTGTGCTGTGGGCCCGTGTGCACGGCAGCAGGGGTATCACGTCCTCCGGAAACAATTTATTTTCCCCCTTCATCCATCCTGTTTCTCACCGCCCGCTCCTGTACAGGGCACAGGGCTGCCGGAGCCTATCCCGGCAAGCAACAGGCGCAGGACAGGATACACCCGGGACAGGACCCCAGTCCACTGCGGCGCACACGTCCACACACACACACACCAGGGCCATGTTTCCAGGAGCACATTATCCTGCCAGTATATCTTTGGACTGCGGGGAAAAAAAACTGGAGCACCTGGAGGAAACCCATGCAAACACAGGGAGAGAGCACCCCAGGTCTGGAATTGAACCCAGGGCCCAGAGGTAACCACTGCGCCAGCATGGCGCCAATTAATTTTTCCTGCTTGAAAATGTTGATTTAACAACCCATGGGATGAACAACCCATTTCACATTCCTATACACTTTAGCAGAACGACATCTTTGGGGGGGCGGGGGGGGAGAGGGGGGATGGGGGAGACAGGTTTTCCTTTAAATCAACAAGTTCACACTTCCATCCAACGGAAAACCTTGGAGGATGCTCAGAAAAGGTTGGGATTTTTCCTTCGTGTCGAAAGCGGGGACTTTGAAAGGGCGAAGGGGCTGCCTGGCAGAACACCCCCTCACCCGCCGGGCAGAACCCGAGGCTTCGGGAGAGAAACGGGGCCGAACGGCCCTCCGGCGCGGGCTGGAGCCAGGCCCCGCCAGCTGCATTCGGGACACCGGTCGTAACCAACTTGACGGTTTTGACTTGGAAAGCGGCCCAATATCTAGACACACACCTTCACTAAACATCAAAAGGCACACAGAGGCAGGGTCATAAATTATTTCAGGCTAGGGTGCCAAAACCATCAAACACTGACTTCACTGCAGGCAATGGGGCATCCTGTGACACGCTAGACGCCAAGGGAACAGGCTGGCAGGGCGCCGCTCCTACCAGCTGCTCCTGGTTCTTCATCTGGTCCGCAGCCTGCTTCGCCAGCGCCGCCTTGGCCTCCTCCGCCGCCCGGCGGTCCCGCTCCATGCGCTCTGCCTCCTCCTGGGCCCGCCTGCGCTCCTGGTCCAGCTCCAGGGCCCGCCGGGTCTGCTCCTCCAGCTCTGTCACACACACACACACACGGCCGCGGGTCAGAGCTCGCGCGCCGGGCAGCACAGCGAGGCGCCGGCGCAATCTCGGGGCGGCCCTCCTCCACAACACAACATTCTCCCCGTCCGTCAAGCTAGTCCTGACGCACGCCGCCTTGGAACGCCGCTCGTCACAGGAAACCTCACTTCGCCGAACCGCGAAAGAAAGCTCCTGTTAATGCGCTGGACCACTCGTCTCTGCCCTGAAGATTTTTGTGTGTAAAGTCTGGATTTCAGAGTCCGATTTTCTGCTCATGCTTTAACACAGAGGGTCCCAAAACAGAATGGATATCCTAAAAACGATGCCTGCAGATAAGGGTACCTTCACTGACTGAAACACCCCAGGTGCCTGTAGATTTCCATTACCGTTCACAGTACTGGCAATCTCAAAAAGTTGTGTGTTTATTACTTCATATACAGTATATGATCATATCATGGAAATGACGCTAACAACGGGCAGTTTGAGACTAGACTGAAATGAACAGAAATATAAATACGAACACCTGTGTCTATGCTGAAGAAGTAGGCTGTCCCTATTGCAGTATTTGGATAAAACAAATCATGCATTTCAAAACTAACACCAGTGACATTCTTAACTTGGCACACACTTGCTTACAGGGGTTACAGTAAACAAGCCAGGCAGTAGCTCTAAAGGAGGTAGACATAAAAGAGTAGGATGTTTGTGTGGTTAACGGTTAATGAGCAACTCCCTGAACACCTCACATGAAGCAGTAAAAAA